GAAATTAACTAAAACCCTGCTGGGTACACCTGTGATGGATTTTTCTCTTCAATAATTTGAAATGGGAGGGCCCAACTTTAATCCAGATCTTTTGAGGTGGGAAGATCCATCTTTCATGTGGGCCACACCTGCTGGCAGCCTATATAAAGGACAAGGAAGAAGGAAGCTTGCTCCCTTTGCCTGCTTGCACTCAGGTTCACTATCACTCTCTCTCTCTACCCCCCTCCCTCCCTCCTTCCCTCTCTCTCTCAAGTCCATTCCTTCACTGGCATTAGAGCCTCCTTTGGGATTCTGGTATATACAGAAGCCCAGCTGAGACATTCATCTTTGTGGATTGAACAACCACTGGATTCTTGAACCTTCCAATGGTAGACAGCCATTGTTAGGTTTGCTTGACCACAGCGTGTCAGCCATTTTGAGAAATCCGCTATAGACAGACTGATAGATGATATAGAGAGATATAAATATATTTAGATAGATGAGAGGTATGCAGGCAGACAGATAGATGATAGACTCATTCATAAGTCTGTTCCTCTAGAGAACACTAATACATTGGGTATTCATAAGATAACACCTGAAACTATTCTTTCTAAAGAGAAGTGACATACTTATCTGACTACCTTATGACAGTATTCAACCAATTCTGGTTTTATTGGCACTAAAATGTCATCTTTAAAAAACATCAAACTGCCAGGCAGTGGTGGCACACGACTTTAGTCCCAGCACTCATGAGGAAGAGGCAGGGGGGGGGCTCTCTGTGAGTCCGAGACCAGCCTGGTCTACAAGAGCTAATTCCAGGACAGCTTCCAAAGCCACAGAGAAACCCTATTTCTAACCCCCCTTCCCAGCCAAAAAAAAAAAAAAAAAAAAAAAAAAGCCAAAAACCAAAAAAAAACAAAAACACCAAACTATCTGAGACAGAGTCTTACATAGCCCAAGCCAACTTCAAAATCATACTATCTTGGCCTCCCAAGTGCTAAGATTATATGCACATACTAGCTTTCCTTTTGATTTTTACATGATATATGGCTGCCTGAGCATTGTAATCCATAATATATAAACACTTGGTATGTCTACTGAACACTTATTTAAGATTTTGATAAGTATCAAATGCTTACAGGATGGAATCCCTATGCAGATACCAGGAAATATTTGTATCTAGAATCTCTCCACCCCCTATATTGTTAGACCCCCTGAAAACTCAGGTATCCAGGGTCCCAGGCCATGATCGCGGTCACCCAATCACCAGGCAGATTCGAGAGCTTGCTGCAAACTGCATGAGGCTTTATTGTAATTTAACAAGCTAACCCCATGTTAGCT